TGTGTCTTACTCATTCTTTTAGGGACTGGGGATTGTGGTGGGAAGCATCCTCAGAAACTGGATCTGGGTCTGTTCTGAGTGTGTATCTGTATGGGGGTGGGGGAAGAAGCAGGCCATCCCAAAGTGTCAGTGTGTAGGAAGATAGAAGATGGGAGTCCAGGTGGAGACAGCAGAAACTGGCCTAACTGCCTCTTGACCATTTCTTTGGATGGACTGGAGGACTTGAATCTCCAGGGCATGTCATTCACCTGTTCCGTTGACTGTTCCTAATCTGTGGACTTGAAAAAATTTAATTGGCTGGTACCATGAATGGCCTCCCTTAATCCATGTCCTTTGCCTTGTAACTTTGTAATCCCTTGCCATGCAGATTCTGGCCAAGCTGTGAGACTTGCTTGGCCAATGGGAAGCTAGCAAATGTGGTGCACATGGAAGTTTGAAAGTGCATGACTATTCTGCTAACCCCCTTGTGTAGCTGGGCACCTTTACAATTCTGACACTGCCTGGTGAACATCATAGAGCTAGCCTGTTGGAGGTGTAAGAGCTAGGAGGACTTAAGTCCAGCCTGGACCAACCAGTCCCCTGCCAGTCTGCCAGCCAACTGCAGACACATGAGCAAGCCCAGCCAAATAACCAGTCGAAGGTTGAGGCCCCTCAGATCAGCCAATCTGACCCATAGACTTGTGAGAAAAAAAAAGCAGATACATTAAGTTTTGGGGTTGTTTGTTACTCAGCAATAACTAACTGATATTAATATTGAAGATTAGAGAAAAGGAGGGTAATAGGGAAAGAAGACAGGCAGGCGGTATAGCAGCAGATCAAAGCACTCAGAAAAAAGCACTTGCTCTGAATTCAGATTAGGCACTGCTATACAGCAGGTATTCCACACTCTGGCTGCCCTCTGACCTCCAGGGTCAAGCTCGGCTACCCCTTCATGCAGGTGTACTCCCTTCTGTGTCTCCTGTTCAGCAGTCCCAGGAACCAGAGTTGTGAACTCCTGGAAAGCAGATGTCTCCAGCTCGTTCTAATTCTGAGGTAAGTTCTGGAACTGCACATCTATCAGGAGAGAGCACTGGGATCCCCGCCTGGGAACACTGGGCCGAGGAGCGGGTGCTGCCCAGCAGCAGCCTGATTTCCCTTTTTCCTTGTCTACACTTTTGTCTTCCCCCTGCCCACGGAGTTGACCTCTGAGCTCAAGTTTCATGGGTTACCCGCCCCCTGAAGCAGCCTACAAGAGTGTATCCCATTATGATCTCATTACAACCCCCCAAAGCCAGGCAGCACCAGGCTGGGGGGAGGGCAAGTGGTCACTGAGCTGGATGAGCCCACCTCTAGCACAAACCATCCCCGTTCCCACCTTGTGTGCCTCTCACGACCTGGGTATGTGCATGGCTGTGAAAGGCATCTCGTGAGGAGCTGAAACTCACAGATACAGTTCATTCGGCGCAAATAAATGGCCACCCTCTCAAGTTTCCTTTTCCCTCAAGCTGGCTTCCAAACTAGAGAAATGCAAGTCGCCCCTGCACTCTTCCCTCGATATTACATGGTGGTTTCAATCTCATTATTATTGCATTATATGTAGCACATCTGTTACTGGTCAGGAGCCAACTATTTAATTCTATTAGATACATCTATACAGCGAAGTGATAATCTACACCAGGTTTGTGGAACAAGCACTTAATACTTGGCAGCAAGCAGCCCAAGGCTTGGTGCACAAGTAAGAGAATGTAGGAGGCCCGTCATAGCCGAGGGTCGCAGGCGGCCAGAAAGCTCTGCGGCATCCTTCCCCAGGCCAGCATTCCATGTGGGAAAGGAGTCCGTCATCGGCTTGTTCCAACATCTGCAAGATATTGATGGAGAACGAGGGAGGTGAGGAGGGGAGGGAGAAGGGAAACGTTTACCTAACCAAATGCTAACATTTCCAAAGGGATTCATGTCAGCTCAGACTAAATGATGTGAGAGTTTTAGGCACATGTGGTTGTATTTACCCCCCAAGAAATGGACACAGATTCGTGTCTTGTTCAGTAACTGCAGTGCATTAGACGTGCCTTCTGCAGTTGCCCCTGAGTTCCTACTTGTGTTTCCTGGCTTCATCTCTGCACATCAGGGAATGGGTTTGCTCGCAGCACTGGGGTCCACAGATGGACGCTGTGTGCTGAGCTCACCGGCCAGGGCTCTGATCCCCTGAAAATGCCAGCTGGAACGGTGCCCCCCACTCCCAGACACCCTCTCTTCCCAGGACCAGTCCACAGCCACACTTACTGCCTTGCACCCTGACTGCCACCTTTTGTCAGCATCTCCTGCGTTTTCACCCAGAGGGCTAGAGGGATGGAGAAGCCATGATGACAGAATCTATGTCTAGTTTCTCCTCCATCCAGGGGAAGAGTCATTTTAAAATCTCAGAATTGATGAAGGGAAATGGAGAGAGGTGGATGGAGAAGAAATCAGGTCTCATATTTCATTGATTATAAGTAAGATGTCATCAGTTTTAAGATGCACGAACATTTTATATACCACTAAGAAAGAAAAATGCTGACTCCTCAACTATGATGTGCCATCAGTTAAAAACACATCCCATATATATAAAATAGATAAACCAGGACCTACTGTATATCACAGGGAACTATATTCAATTTCTTATAATAAGCCATAATGGAAAAGAATCTGAAAAAATATATATGTATGTATATGTATACCTGAATTGCTTTGCTGTACACCTGAAACTTACATTGTGAAGCAACCACACTCCAATAAAAAATAAAATAAAATAAAACACACCCCAATTTCAGAGATGTTAAAGTATTGGGAGAAAAATGTGCAACTGAAGGCACCCAACCCCCGGGCTCCCCCAACACTGACCACTTATGAGTTGTATGATGGTGGGAAAATTATTTCACCTCTTTGTGCCTCCATTTCTTCACCTGTGAGATGGGGATAGTTAAAACACTTGCCTCATATAGTTGTTGCAAGGATTAAATATCAATGTATGTAAAGTGTTTAAAGGAGATGCTAAGTGTTTCCTTTTTGTGTGACCTTGAACACGTTGCTTAATACCACTGAGCCTGTTTCCCTCAGTTACAAAATGCAGGTAGCAACCCTATTACATCTGCATCCCTTTAATGTGGATCAGTGCTTGGACCTTCACTAACCAGGTAACCAGGGAGGTGCGGGGTGGGAGGGAAGCTGTTTAAAGGAAAGAGTCCGTTGTAGTGAGTGAACTCATCTCAGCAGGATGACCCGTCCCTCCCCAGTCCCGCAAACTGTCTAGGCCACGTGTGTGGGCACTGCCTTGCTGAACCAGCTGACCACACCAGGCTGCCCCCCGCTTCCAAGAGCTCAGGGGAAAGACCTGGTTTATCCCTGGCCACTTGTCTTTGCAGTTGACATGAACTGCAATTTACTTTACATACAAAATATGGTAAATTTATGCCCTTTGTCCCTGGGGCACTTTAAGAATCATTCACCAAGCAGGTTCATATTTAGCCTTATGGTTTATTTTCTCAATGGCCCTGTAAGGAAGAGGGGGTAAGTATTACAATTCCCACTTACTGAAGGAAAGAGCTGAGGGCTAGAGAAATAAAATGACCACCCAACGTCACATAAAGCTGGTTCTCTTAGCAATATGTTATAGTGTTTATATTCATGCTGGATTGGACTGAGATTGCCCACAGTCGATGTCTCTCCCTGCGGGAAGAGTATACATTCCTATCTGAACTTTAAGCTCGGCCAGGTGATTTCACTGGGCCAGTGAAAAGTGAGCTCTGTCCATGAAGAAGCTCTAAGATCTCTGTGTGGCTTGCCACATGTCTTTTCCTTCTGCCATAAAGTTGGCCAAGTTCCCACTGCAGGCTGTGCATCAGCTGGGTCCCGTGGAGAGGACAGCATGGAGCAGAAGATGTCCTACAGTGGACATGTAGCCTGAGCAAGAAGCAAACCTTTGTGGCAATAAGCCATTGAGATTGTGGGGCTGTATATTTCCACAGCAAAACCTAGCCTATTCTAACTGATACGGTGTATTTTCTACCATGCACCAGATCTATACTTTCTGTCCTCCATGAAAAGTTTGCTCTCTTTGAAGAAGGTAGTTTGCATGACCTGAAAATGGCGGCCTCCGCTTCTATTTTAGCACACATTGCTCTTCTTCATGTAGCCCTAATTAGCCCTCTCTGAGCACAAAATCAGGTAATTCTGATCATGGACTAAAGCAGTGTACTTTTAACCATCGATGCCTCTTGCGATGAGTTGAATTGTCCCTCCCACCCCCCTGCCAAATTCACACGTTGAAGTCCTGCTCCCAAGCACCTCAAAATGTGACCTTATTCAGAGATAAGGTCTTTATAGAGGGAATCAGGCTAAAATGAGACAATCAGGGTGACTTCTAACCCAATATGACTGGTGTGCTTATAAAAAGGGGAACTTTGGATTGAGACATGCATTTGGGAAGAATGGCACGTGAACATGAAGATGGACATCTACATGCCAAGGAGAGAGGCCTGGAATGGCTCTTCCCCTCACAGCCTCAGAAGAAACCAACCCTGTCAACACCTTGTTTCTGACTTCTAGCCTCCAGAAGTGTGAGACAGATGTCTTTTTGTTGTTTAAAAGTCAACTACTTCAGGATACTTTGTTATGGCCACCCTAATAAATACACCTAAGACACTGCTCAGTTTCTTAAGATCATGGAGGTAGTAGCTAATGAAAAGTAGAGGTGGGGAAAAAGAGATACTCCAGATGGGGTCTATCACCAGCAAGGTGGGAACCCACCTTGTGTGTCTGAGTCCTGATTCTGCTCATGTGTAGGGCAGGAGATGCTAGAAGAAGGAAGGCTGGGGCCAGGTCATGAGAGGAAACCTTGGTCTTGATTCACAGGCTCACACCAAATGCTTTCATTTTTTCAAATTGTTCTATCCAACTATTTTATTTTTTTACATTTTTATTTATTTATTATTTATTATTTTTTCATCTTTTTTGGGTGGTGGTAATTAAGTTATTTATTTTTTAAATGGAGGCACTGGGGATTGAACCCAGGACCTCAGGCATGCAAGGCATGTGCTCTACCACTGAGATACACCCTCGCCCCTCAAATGCTTTCATGTTTGACAATCAGAAACTGTTACAGCTTTCTGATGAAGAATTTTCTGGTGGCTTTGTAGTTTGTAAATGGTCAAAAATTATTCAGGACTAAGTCTAGCTGAGCAAAGGGAATCCCCAAGTTGGAACAGTAAGGGATAAAATAATGAACAGTTTTCTAGAGTGGTCAGCCTTGGTGAAGCAAGTAGATCTCCTTCCAGCTACACGGTTGAACGTATTGCTTCCTGGGGAAGCCACTTGGTTCGATAGACTTCTGTCTCATCACTTGGCAGTGACACCTTAATTAGCACCCTAAGAAGTGGCACTTGGAATGTTGACAGGCCTTGGGGGCATCTGAGCAGATTCATCTCTCCAGATTCCGACACCAGTTCCATTTCTGAGTGAGTCCTCCCAAGTCAGGCAGAGTATTCAGCCTTGGACTGGCCAGAAGGTGTGGTCTGCTATGAGTGGTGCTACCCTAGACCTGCCGCAGGGGAACCCAGCCTTAACCTGCTCTTGCCGCATCTGCCCCAATCCGTGCCCATGGGACACACTTCTGTCTGCCTCCTTGGATTTCCTTTCCAGGTTTCCCACCACGCTGAATCTGGAACACTGAGTCTCATACCTTGGGCCTTGATGACCCACTACTCCCAGGTTCTGGCCCAGGTCTTCCTTCAGGCATGTGGACCTGGTGCCTGGGGAACATGCACCACTCCCCAGATTCAGTGCCCGTGACACTGACTCCACCAAGTCTGGGTTCACTTGGCCAGTTTGTATAATACAGAATTAAACAGTGGGTCCCCCTCCCAAAAGGCAGCAGCCTTCCAGCCAGATCACGTTCCAGTCAGCTGCCCTACCTGGACTGCTGAGAACCCTGAGTATCTCATCTGAAGCCCCTCCCCCCCAAGATTTAACCATGTACTTTCATTTCCTCAGAGAAGGGGGCATGCTGGCTTCCTCCTGGTCCTCAAACGCACATGGAGGGCCAAATGCCTAGTTTAGAAGGTGCTGGGGGACCAGCAGATAAATGATGGCACTCAGAAGCCGGGGCTCACGTTACCGCTGAGCTGCCCGCAACTGGCTCTCCTCACTCTGAGTGCCTTGGCAGCAGTGTCTTTTCCAGTTGTACGTGTCTTGCTTAATGGGGAGCCCGTCCAGAGCTCTGGAGCGAAGGCCATGGGATCCAAATCCCATTCCAAGCGAGTGAGTGACAAGCAGCTAATTTCCAAAGCTGTGCAGCGGATATTCTTCCTTCCTTCAGCCCTCTGGGAGAGAAAGTGATGCAAATGAAATACCCCCGGGGGAGGAGCTTGTTGTAACTTATGATTAATCTTGAAAAAACCACATGAGTTAAGCATTCCAGTGCTGGAGCTAACCTAAAACCAGGAACATGATCCTGCTCACTCACAGGCCTGCTCCCTCCGTCCCGCCCTCACTCCCACAAATCCTAGGTGCTTTTGCACAAGGCAGATCCCCCGCCACTTAAGCCAGCAGAGGGTATCTTTGCTGGGACCAGCTAAGAAAAAAGCAGCCTTGGGGTCTGTCTTAGGAAAAAGCTCCTCTAATCAGAATAATAGCCCAACGCATTTTTATAGCATTTGGCTCTTTCAGAGACTTGACTGCACTGTTCTTCATGACAGCCCAGTGTTGGAGAGTATCTCATCCTTCCCTAAGTCCAATACAATGCTTCTGGAAGCCTGCTGGGTCGTGGCTGACCCGTGATGACGGCAAATGATGTCTAGGAGCAAAGCATGGCCATCCCACTTCTTCCAAAGCAGGGCATCTAGGAGCCCCCCAAAGAGCTTTCTGCTAGGTGTCTGCCTCTCCCTGTGAGCAAGTCATTTTACTCCTTAGGCTTCTGTTCTTCATCTCGAAAATGGGACTAACATGATTTGCCCTTCCTCCAAGATTGGGAAACAGAGTCACTGTGCCAATAACATCAATGATTGGTGCCTCAGCTTCCTCTCGCAGGCTCGTTATGGAAATTAAACAAGCTCACGCATGTAACGTGCTTAAGATCGTGCCTGGCACACAGTGAATGCTGAATAAATGTTGGCCATTATTTTTTTTTTTTGGCCATGCTAAGGATGATGAAGAGGAAAGTCCATGGCACCAACACAAACATGCATTAGCTCCCTATCATTGCAGCCTTTAAGGTGTTTCCCTGAGCAATCAGCTGGGCAAGGGGTTCTCTATCCCAAGTACAGCCGGCAGCTGCCATCACACCCCTAGGCTGACCGATAGTGACATGGGACTTTGGATGGGGCTGCTTTGAGTTAGGGGTCATTTCAGTGTGGCTCTTTGCTGTTGAGCCATCATAATGCAGAAACACTTTTTTTTTTAATTAAAAAGTAACGAGGAGGAGGAACAATATAGGGGGAAGGGATTCAGTGGTACAAACTCTTATGTATAAAATAAGCTACAAGGATATGTTGCACAATATGGGGAATGTAGCCAGTGTTTCATCGTAACTACAAACAAGGAGTATTATCTTTAAAAATTATGAATCACTATATTGTACACCTGTAACTTAAATAATATTTTATATCAACTAAAAACGATAATTGAGTAATTGAATTGAAATAATTCAATTAAAAATAATAATCTTTTAAAAAAAGTAATGACAAGTGGCCTTGAGCCTTGCCGCCTCACTGAGCCCAATCTTGTCCTCAAAACTGAGATTCTTGGGCTCAAAGAGGAAGTGTTGCTGTTTCCACATTTCTTGTTAATATTATACTTTTTTTTATTGAAATTTTAAGCATTGTTTCCTAGGCTGCACCAGAATATGCTGGGTCAAAATGGTGATGCCAGATGTCTGTCTTCAACCTCAGACCACCCAGGCTTCTCAGACAGCACAGCTCTGTCAGCGCTCCTGCACCGAGGCTGGCCCACGAGGCTCCGTCTGGGATAAATGAAGGGCAGCGTTGGACCAGTTTTATCCTGAGGAGAAGGCAGCAGCCTCACTGGCCACCAGCTTGGGAAAGGCTGAGATGGGGTGCTGCAGTGTCTGGGATCGGAAGGCGCCGACATTAACTGGCACCCTTTACGGCTCCGTTCCCAGCTCTGGTTTTAATTAGCTGCTTCCAGATTTAATCTCCCAAATGCTCTGCCTGCTTCCTTGTCTAATCCTGCAGTCTGACGGGTCCTTACTTATGCGCATCAATACTGTTTACAAACATGAAAGCCACCCAGCGGTGTTTGAACTTCAGGCACCGCCATTGGTTATCAGTAAGCAAAGGCAGCCCTGCAGGTGGTGCATCGACACCACCGGGTCAATATTCCACGTGCGGGCAAGATCCAGGCCTTTCTGCATGGTCTGGGGGAGGAGGCTGCCCTCGGCAGAGGCTCTGTCTGGCTTTGCTTCCTTAGTACGACCATCTTCATTCCCTTTCTGAGTCACTCCATGATCCCCTATGGGGTCGATCTGGCTACGGAGGAAACTTCCTGTTGCAGCCGAGAGGAGAAAGCTAGCATTTTGGAAGAATAGCTTTTTCCCAGCGGACACACAGGGTCACGGTTCTCCTGGGGTACTGGGACTTGGTGTCAGTTTTCTGCCAGGCTCCCACACTTAAATGCTGTATGAGTTGGGACAAGTCAGAAACTCTCTTGGCCCTCACTTTTTAAATCTAGAAAATATCAGTGTCAATGGTCGAATGTGATAACATGTACAAAAGTATTTTTGTGAGCTATAAAGGGACAAGTGTGTTATGCAATGGTTTATGGAGCCGGACAGACATAGATTCAAACTGCAGCTCTGCCACTTGCTGGCTGGATATCCCCCAGCAGTTGATATGAGCTCTCCAATCCTCAGTTTACCCATATGATAAATGGGCTTAATAGTGGTACCAACCTGAAAGGCTATTTCAAGACTAAATGGGATTAACAAAACTACAATGAGGTATCACCTCGCACCAGTCAGTATGGCCATCATTAAAAAGTCCACAAACAATAAATGCTGGAGAGGGTGTGGAGAAGAGGGAACCTTCCTACACTGTTGATGGGAATGTAGTTTGGTGCAGACATTGTGGAGAACAGTATGAAGATCCCTCAAAAAACTGAAAATAGATTTACCCTATGATCCAGCAATCCCACTGCTGGGCATATATACAGAGAAAATGCTAGCTTGAAAAGATACATGCACCCCAATGTTCATAGCAGCACTATTTACAATAGCCAAGACATGGAAGCAACCTAAATGTCCATGGACAGATGCCTGGATAAAGAAGATGTGGCATACACATATACAATGAAATATTACTCAGTCATAAGAAAAGAATGAAGCAACACCATTTGCAGCAACATGGATGGACCTAGAGATTATCACACTAAGTGAATTAAGTCAGACAAAGACAAATATGATATGATATCACTTATATATATGGAATCTAAAAAGCGACATGAATGAACTTACTGGCAAAACAGAAACAGACTCACAGACGTAGAAAACAAACTTATGGTTAGCAAAGGGGAAAGGGCAAAAGGAGGGATAAATTAGGAGTTTGGGATTTCAAGATACAAACTAGCAGATATAAAATAGATAAACAACAAGGTCCTACTATATAGCACTGGGAACTGTATTTAATAGCTTTTAAAAGCCTATAATGAAAAAGAATATGAATAAGAGTGTGTATATATATATATAACTGAATCACTGTGCTATACACCAGAACCTAACACATTGTAAATCAACTATATTTCAATAAAGTATAAAAATAAGTAAATGGGATTAAACACGAAAGAGTATATGTAGCCTAGCACCTGGACCTAAGAAACACTTAATACATATTAACTGTTGCTCCATTATGTTGGTTATCTTTATTAAAATTATTATTATTATTATTATTATTATTATTATTATTCCCAGGTCTGCCACTTCTTAGCTGAGTGAACACTTGCTTTCCTTCCTGAGCTCTGGCTCCTCAGCTGTGAAATCTGAATCATAACAACAATCTCTCAAGATTCTCTGAGAGTTAGATGGAAATACTGCTTGACCCCATGGACCGAC